GGAAAAGATGACTGGGTGGTTTCCCCGGAACTCTGGCCGGATGTGAGAGTAGTGTTGGAAGAGACTCCCCAGGATGGTCTGCAGGTGTCTCAGGTGTGGGCTGGTGGATGAGCTACAGATAGGGAATTCAGGAGGAAGCAGACTGGTGGCAGGCAGAAGACAGTACCTGCTGTAAGTGTATCTAGGAGAGCATACAAGTTTTATTTTGCCAAATATGGGGAAAGAAACTTTAACAAAATAAGGTCTTCCCAACGACCTGTGGAAACCATCCCACTTATCCAAGTGAAGAGCCCCCACAGATTCTTCCTCAGCATGCCACTGGTAACAGATTCTCTCTTTTTTTTTTTTTTTTAAGATTTTATTTATTTGAGAGAGAAAGAGAGAGTACAAGCAGGGAGAGCAGCAGGAAAGGGAGAAGCAGGCTCCCCACTGAGTGGGAAGCCCAATGCAAGGCTCGATCCCAGGACCCTGGGATCATGACCTGAGCCGAAGGCAGACACTTAACTGACTGAGCCACCTAGGCGCCCCAGAACCTCTTTTTATGGTTTCTATTCTCTTCAGGGACTACCTGAGAGGGACGTCACTAATTTCCCTTCAGATCAAACAAGCTTCTGAAGAAGGTAGATCAGACTTGCCATTAAAAAAAAAAAACAAAGCCCATCTATTGTGGGTGGCAAAGCCTTTGTAATGACACTAATCCTCCCCAGAGGAATTAGAGGATAAAGAACGGGAACTCCTAAATTAATTTTTAATTTTTTTCCATCTACCATCAGACACAGACAATTTGCCTTTTTTTTTTTTTTAAGATTTTATTTATTTGACAGACAGAGATCACAAGTAGGCAGAAGAGGCAGGCAGAGAGAAAGGGGGAAGCAGGCTCCCCGCCGAGCAGAGAACCTGATGGGGCCCTCGATCCCAGGACCCTGAGATCATGACTCAAGCTGAAGGCAGAGTCTTAACTCACTGAGCCACCCAGGTGCCCCGACAATTTCCCTTCTTGAGAGGGCAGTTTGCTTTAGGAAGAGTTAACATGGGTGGCTACCGCTTTACAGGTTTTTATTAGAATCAGGCTTATTTAGGGGTACCTGGGCGGCTCAGTGGGTTAAAGCCTCTGCCTTTGTCTCGGGTCATGGTCTCTGGGTCCTGGGATCAAGCCCCGAATTGGGCTCTCTGCTTGGCGGGGAGCCTGCTTCCTCCTCTCTCTCTGCCTACCTCTCTGTCTACTTGTGATCTCTGTCAAATAAATAAATAAAATCTTTAAAAAAAGATCAGGTTTAATAAATAAAATCTCTTTTAAAAAATCAGGCTTATTTAATCAAGGAACTCGGTATACTCCTGTGAAGTTAAAGTTAGAGGTTTCTTTTATATTATGATGTTTGAATACATAATACATTACATGGCTCAAATATCTAAAATGTGTAAAAAAAAAAAAAAAATACACGCTGAGAAATCCCATTTCTACCCAGGTCCCACCTTCTCTTTCCAAGGCTCTCCCCTGCAGGTATATTACCTTGGTGTTTCTTTATACAAATGGAAGTTCAAAGGAGTCTGCACACTCTTCTGCAGGTTACTTTTTGTCATGTAACAACATCAAAGAGATCTTCCCATGTTAGTACCTTCATCTTTGCAGCTGCATAATACTCCACTTTACTTGGAAGTGCCACTGTTTGTCCTATATTGCCATTCCGACATTTTTTATTATAAAAAATGCCACACTAAATACTTTTGAATATATATCTTCCTCATACAAGGGTAAGAGAACCTGAAGGAAGATTCCTACAAGAGGTAGGGGTGCCCCAATGGCTCAGTTGGTTAAGCATCTGCCTTTGGCTCAGGTCATGCATCGCCAGGTCCTGATATCAAGCCCTGAGTTGGGCTCCCTGCCTAGCAGGGAGTCTGCTTCTCTCTCTCTCTCTCTCTTTCTCTCCCTCTGCCCCTCCCCATTGCTTGTTCTCTCTCTCTCTCTCTCAAATAAAGTCTTAAAAAAACAAAAGAAAGAAATTCTTAAAAAAAAAAAAAAAAGAGGGAGAGAGAGATTGTTAGACCAATGGGTAAATACATCAAGAATTTTAGGGGTCGTACCATTTTTCAGTCTCACCAAAAAGGTATGAAAAATCTCAGCAACAAAGTTTTCTATCAAACTTTTGTGTTTTGTCAGTCTTGTAGGGGAGAAATGGTATCTCTTAGGGTATGTTATTTTAATATAAATCGAGTATCTTTTGTTTAAAGATTTTTGTTGTTGTTGTTGTTTAAAGATTTTCTATTTCTTTTGCTTAACTGTTTTTGTCCTTGGTCCATTTTCTATTGGTTTTGTCTTTATTCCTAGGAGCTTTTGATAGAGAGATCAGCTCAAATATAGGCTAGAAATTTAATACAACAGTGTATCATGTGGCATTGGAAGACAGTAAGTCACCATACCATTCTCAATGACCTAAAGTAACTGTCAAGCCAGGAAAGATTAAATAATATGCCAAGGGCCAACTAAAGGGTCTAGAACCCAAGTTGCCTGACACAGACAAGCACAAGAAAATCTCAGTTAACAGTCAGACATCAGATACAAATTTCCAGTGTGTTCCAATCTGGAAGTAGACACAAATGACCTCATGAGAGATCTAGCTCCAACTGCTTATGGCCTTTAAAAAAAAAAAAATCCCTTGCATTTCAAAGCTGTATCACAGATCTCCACTCTCACACGTGGCCTTAAGAATCCCCTTAGCTTGGTGGGGTTAAACAGGTGATGGGGATTAAGGAGCACACTCGCCACGATGAGCACCGGGTATTGCATGGAAGTGCTAATCACTAAACTGTACACCTGAAACTGATATTACCCTGGCTCTTAACCCACCTACATGGGTTTGAAGCAATTAGAACTCGAAGCAATTAGAACTCAGGAGGTCAAAGGAAATAAGGTGAAGATACGTAAGTTTACGTCAGACTCCTGGACAACAGATCTCAAAGGAAGAGACTAAGAAAGCAAGACAATGCCAAGTCAGAAAAGCACACAGCCAACTGGGGCCACTCAGGAACCCTAAAAACAGGTGCCAAGGTGAAGACTGTGTGAGAATATACTATACTCAGCATCCATTCTTAATGGTTCTGCCTGACAGAATTAGCAAATCCTTGAGTTGTGAAGAACTCAGTTGTTCTTCATACCCAATTCAGGATTCTTCTCTGGAGCAGCCCTGGTGGGTCACTGGGCCTCTACTTGACTAGTTCTGGGCAAGAAACCTCAACATCAAAATACACTAAAGAGAAACAACTGTATGGTATGTGCGGTGTGCCAGACACTGGGCTAAATTCCTATTACCCATTTCCTCATTTAATTTGCACAACAACCGTGAGTAGGCATTTTACAGATGTGGAAGTTTGAAGATGTTAAGTAAGTTGCCCAAATCACGAGAGAAGGGAAAAAAAGGCAGCCCGACACCCGCGAGCTGGCCCACTACTATCAGCTAACCCTAGTGTTGCGAGGCAATGGCCCAGCATTCTCCTGTTGAACACGAACAATGTCTCAGAACAGCAACATCAGGCAAGGCCACTCTGCTGTCATGATAAATTAAGACAAAAACAAGACCCCTCATAATCTCATCTGACCTCAGACAAAATATGAACATTGTCCAAACCACAAAAACAACCAGACATCCCCTCCCCCTCCACACACACACAAAACCACCATCACCACCACCAGTCCTGGCTAGCGAGTGACTGCTGCTTCTTGATCAACCACAGCTTTCACCTCACTGCAGCCTTCCTTGTGAAGATACTCAATAGAATTCTCCCCCTTCCAGACAGCATCCAATCCTAAGCAAAGTCCTGTTTCCTTTAACTCTCCCCATAACCACCAAGCTAAATGCTGTAACTTCTTTCTAACACCGACTTACTGAGACATCCCATGGTGTGAGGTCTCCCTCCCCGCAACAAGCAACAACTTTTCCAACTCTACGTGCATTTCCGGAGGTCTCTAGAGGGCACTGCTGTCATGCGGAGAATTAGAGTGAAGGTTCCAATGGAGGTCCACCTGCCTCCAAAACCTAAGCCCTTGGCCACACAGCTTTGCAGATTTCTCAGTCAGCTTTTTAAATTTGGGCTGCATATAATTCATCTCATAAAATAAGAAAGTATGCTCAAAAGGGTAGACTTCAGTTATAGTGGAAGTGAAAATCACAGTTATGGAACATGGTTACGGGACACATGTCCTCACTAGGCAGGGAAAGGAGACGTTGCTGTACTTGCCTCAAAGTTAACAACTTCAGCACATTTTGAATTATTTTTAATTTTCTAAATAACAACGTGAAGTTTAGTCTATTAAATTAAAACAGAGGTGTCATCCTTTTAGATCTTCCATGCTTGAAGCCCAGTCAGTGCCTGAGCTCATTTTTATAATAAGACAAATTAAAGACAAGGTACTCCGTTACTGCTTTCTAAAATAAAAATCAGTATGTGAAATTAAAAAAAAAAATGATGGTGACAAAACAGGCTGAGCTTGAGAAAGGAGTTAGCATAAAGCGACAAAGTCTTCGGGAAGTGAGGTGGATAAGGGAAGGGACAGGGTTTCAGTACAGAGAACCCGCTGGTCCCCTTGAGGGTTCAAACAGAACAAAAAGAAAAACACTTCGGGAAAATCCAAAACTTCGTCTCCAAGCAGGCAGGCGATCTATGGGGACAGCAGCTGGGAGCCTGGGCCCTATCTCTCAGATCTCTCTAACAGCCCGGGTTCCACTTCTCGCAGCTGTTCTCCTTTATAGGAAGAGCGCGTTGGTGATTTCGACAAGGATCAAGTTACACTTCTTCAGCTGCATCTCCGGCCTCACATCACTTCTTTCATTGCACACTGCCTCGCTGTCCGTCTGCCCCTCGAGAGCTACGATGCCGAGACATCCGTTCCTCCCCTCCAAATCACTCTTTTGAACGGAGCCGGCGCTCCGCCAGAGATGTTTTAAAACATTCTACAACACACGCCTGTGCAGGAGCCGCCCCTCTCCGCTCCCTCTTCGGCGCAGATGCGAAGCGGGTCCCAGGGGTCCGCACCTCCAGGCCTAGGGAGCCACACGAGCAGCTGTGAGGTCATCCCGCCCCCTGCCGATGACACCCAGGGGGACTTGGCCTTCTCCGCAGGCTTGGGGCCCAATTTTAGGCGGCTGAGGGAACCGTTGCAGCCCAGAGACCCAAATCCCGTGGGCGTCGGCCTCTCCTTCCCGCACGCACGCCCCGCAAGCCGGGAAAGCCTTTGCACGCCCCGGGGGAACCGGGAGGACAAAGAACGCCAGAGGGGTGGTGAACTGGGGGAGACAGAAGGTACCGGCCCTCGCAACAGCCCGAGAAGGAAGTGGCTGCTGGGAAGCGGGAAAGGGTTAGGGAAGGGGCGGCGGGGAGAGGGGCACGCGATGGGGCCAGCTGGCCGCTGGCCGGACAGCCGACCGACTCGTCTCCCTTCCGGGGGGGACGGCGGGAAGGGGCGTCCGGGAGAGAGAAGGGCCGCGGACTGGGCTCCCCGGGGTTGGCCGCCCGCCCAGGCGCGAGCCGGAGCCGCCGCACTCACCTGCCCGAGCCGCCGCCGCCGCGTCCCCACAGCCGCGCACTCGGCGCCCCGCGCCGGCCCACGGTTTTGAGCCCCGCGGGGCGGGCTGGGGGCGGGAGCTCGGTGGGAGGGGGCGGGCCGGAGGGACCTTTGCGCAGCGGCCCCCCAGCCCGACCGGACCCGGGTGCTGGGCCCAGCACAGCCGAGGCGGGGCGGGTGCGGCCGAGGCGGGGCGAGGTCGGCGGGCGGCGTCCCGAGGCCCGCCGAAGGTCCGGAGCCGGCGGGTCCCCTCTCTTTCGGTGACTCCGCCCACGCGGGTCGCTGACACCCCGGGGCTGGGCTTTGGCCAAAGTCCCCGCACGCTTTTCGGGATCCGAGGCCTGGGGCGCACCGGGGACATGCCGGGGCCTCACCAGAGGAGTGGGCTCGGCCTCCCTCCCCGAGGCCTCCTCTCCCGCCCTCAGTACCGTGGGGTTTGAAGCCTGCCGGGCCCGGTCATCGAGAGTTGGGTGCCGCCTGGCACCGCGGCTTCATCGTTCCACTGGGCAAGTCTGAGGCTGCTCGAACCTGTAGGAGCCCCTGATGCCGGGGCCTGGGAGTGTCCGGATTTGTGGTGTGACCGCGCCCACACTAGTCCTGGCATTATTAATAATTCATGCAACTATATTCTAAACTCGAGGGCAGCGCCCGGCACCCCTCACTAGGTGCTTAGTTAATGAGTGAATCTGAGCGCAGTTGGTGCTGACTGACTGACTTAAACACTCTGTCCCTTCAGTCGGTATTTATGGCTCATCTTTTCTGAGCAGCACTCTGCTAAGCTGAGAACAATGAATGAGAAAAAATAAAATGCTGTCCTTGGCGAACTTGCATTCAGGAGTGTTGAGTTTTGTTGCTACCCTCCACCGGGCAGGGAAAGAGGCAGGGCTTGGGCCGGGATTGGGGGGGGTGGGTGTTCTAAGTCTATCCCTCAAAGTTACCCCACTCTTGTATTTGCCTCAGGAAAGCCCTTCCTGACTATTCCCATCAAAAATACAGCCAGTCCATCAATCTGCAGGAACACTCCCTAGTTCCTTGCCTGCTTTATTTTTCTCCTTTGCACTGACCACCATCTGAGAGACTATACACGTCGCACCTACTTCATGTATTATCTTTCTCTTCCTTAGAATGTCAGTTCCACGAGGGTAGGGACTTATGTCTGTTTTGTTCACTATACCCAGCACCTAGCATAGTAGCTGATGCATGATAGATCATAAATAATTGTTAAATTAAGTAATGCATCCTCCTGTTTGTTTTTCCAACTAGACCGTGGGCTCTTACTCATCTGTGCAACCATTAGTGGTGGTTGGATAAGTGAATACATAGAAATGGTTGAGAGAGGGAGGTCCTCTGTCTTGCCAAACTAATAGGTATTGGAAGACAAAAAGAATCACAGTGCTGGCTTTTGAAAGAGAATTTTCATCCATGCTATCACTTCTCTGGGTTCATAAAATTGTATAGTGATGACTCTGGTTTGTTATCAGATCTAGGCCCTTAACCTTAAGAACATCCTTATAAACAGCATGTTCACAAAGTCCCCGCCAACAAGCCCCAGCCCAGTCTAGATAGGTTAACACTTCTGAGAGTGCTTGAGCTTTCTGTTGCAATGGTTACTTAGGGACTTCAAATTCTTTCCCTCTTTTTCTCCCATCCACTGCATTTCAGTTAAATGTCTGAGAATAGTAATAATATTAGCTACTGATATTTACATAGCACTCTCTAGTTACTATCACGAAGCATGGTTCTGAGTTCATTACATGCATTGACTGACTCATTTAAATCCTCACAGCAACTGAGTAGGGGTCTAAGTTATGAATGAGTAAATGGAGGCACAAGCCAGGAGCTTACGAAGCTGGGAAGTAACAGAGCTAGGGTGTAAACAGATCATCTGACGCCATCTGAGATACAACTGACATATAACATTGTGTATATTAAAGGTATACAACACATTGATTTGATATACTTTCATACTGATGAAATTCATTAATGGGGTGCATGATATAAATGAACACATTAACGAACCAGCCCTGCATGGCTGCCATAACTACTTCTAGATCTTTGGGAGTCGCTTTTGGAGACACCTGGACTCTTATAGATGGATAGGCACTGTGGAAGAGAAAAAACACACAGCCTTTGGATCAGGCAAATTTGGGGCTAATCCAGCCTACCACTTACCAACTGAGTGGCCTTAAGCAAATTTTCAACTTCCTAGTTTAAAAAGTTACCTATAGTGTTGTCATGATATTAAAAGAGAAAATGTATAAAAAGCACTCAGCACATAGTAGACCATCAATAAAAGTTAGTTTCCTTTTGTTTATTAATTACTTTCTAGTTAATGTCACTTTTGAGTCTAAAATTTTTCACCTATGTACAATTTTGTCTTCCCAGAGGAATATAGCTACTAACATAAATTAACATAAAATTTGGCATACATTGATATATATATATTTTTTTTAAACCAATTTATCTCCCTGAATCCCAAAAGTGTTTTAACTGAAGACTGTAATGCCAAAGTGTATTACCAATTACTGTCTTAAAATAAAAACCTTTATGGAGGGTTAAATATGGCCCAGAACAAACGGCCTATTTCTTTCGGGGGCTCAACCATCTCTTGTTCAATAGCAAGGTGTAGATACAGGCAGGAGAAAACTAAAATTTACTTGGTGGCCAGCAAATGACCAACAAAAATTATCAAAATTTAAATCCTCAATGCAAATATTAATGGGGACAAATAAAGAAATGGAGTAATGTGGGGGTGCCTGGGTGGCCCAGTCAGTTAAGGGTCTGCCTTTGGCTCAGGTCCTGATCTCAGGGGTCCTGCTCAGCAGGGAATCTGCTTCTCCCTTCCCCCCTGCTTGTGCAGTCTGTCTGTCTGTCTCTCTCAAATAAATAAAATATTCTTAAAAAAATAATTTGTTGTTCAAATTATAATTTACTACATGACAAACTACCTAAAACTTAATGATATCTCAGGATTTTGCAGGTCAGAATTTTGGGCAGGGCTCAGCTAAATGATTCCTCAGTTCCATGTGGCTCTGACTGGGATCACTCAGTAGAATTTAGCTGGTGAAGGACCTAGTCTGGAGGGTCCAGGATGGCTTTACCCACACGTCTAATGTCTTGGCAGGGATGGCTAGAAGGCAGCACTCAGCTGGGATCATCAAGCAGACCCCCAACACGCAGCCTCTTTAGTACAGTGGACTTGGGGAAGTCAGACTTCTTATATGGAGGCTCATGTCTCCAAAAGTGAGTGTTCCAGGAACCAAGGCAGAAATTATGTTCTATGACTTAACCCCTGAAGACCTGGCAAGCGACTTCCACAACATTCCATAGCTGAAGCCAGCCCAGATTCATAGAGAGAATTATACTCTACCTTTAGTGGGAGAAAATGCAAAGAACTTCCAGACACCTTCAATCTCTCACACTTGTTTTTACGAAAGAGAATGGCATTAAATAAAGTCAGTAAAAACTCCTATATTTTTGTCCATTGTTCATGTGGAAACATATATCATTGTCAGCATTAAAGGGATTTGCAGTGAAGACCAGGAGTCGTCCACCTGATGTCAGGTTTATAGAAACTTTGAAGAACAGTGCAATTCAGAGTTGCACATTCTTTTCTTGCCCCCTTCTCATTGTTTTTAAAGTCTGTCCAGCATCTAAGTTAGCTATATCCAGCACAAAGAAAGACAAAGTCCATACCTCCAAAATTTGTTAATTTAACAAATATTTGTTAAGGATGTCCTATATGCCAAGCCCTATCTTAGATACTGGGGCTATAAAAGTGAGAGAGGGACATGAAGTTCATGCCCTTATAGAGTCTGGGAGTATATCTGGAAAAGGCAGACAGATAAACAATGCAGATATAGGGTGAGAAGTTCAATGATCAGGTGCATGGCTAGTTTTGGCTAGACCATCGAACACAGTAGAGAAGGAAAGGTATCCGGGTCAAGTAAAGTCAAGTAGGGAAAGCTAAACAAATAAATCCCCAAATGATAATGCCTCAAACATAATAGCAGCTTATTTTTTCTCCACGAATAGCTGAAGGCAGTTCCAGAGTATGGGAGGTGGTGAAGGAAGAGGGTAGACTCTGTTCCTTCAGGAAGCAGACTGGGGAAGACACTGCCCCTTTCAGCTCAAGGCTGCCCTGGTTTTCTGGGCACAGACATCTCCAGCAGGCAGAGAAGGAAAGAACCTGGAGGCTCTCTCATGGGAGGTTTTTCATGGGCCTGGCACTTTTAAGTGCCTTCTTTTGGCCAGAAATTAGTCATACGGTCCCTCTAGCCACAAAGGAGGCTGGAAAATGTAGGCTCTGTGCCCAGGAAAAAAAGAGGAAGTCAGTTCCCAAGAGCCATAGCAGATTCCACTTCGAATCGCTTTTTGAGGACAAACAGGTGTTGGCCAAGTTCCTCATTTTTAAAAAATTATTTTTGTTAACATATAATGTATTATTTGCCCCAGGGGTACAGGTCTGTGAATCCTCAGGCTTACACATTTCACAGCACTCATCATAGCACATACCTTCCCCAATGTCCATAACCCAACCACACTCTCCCTATCCCCCTATCCCCCAGCAACACTGTTTGTTTTGTGAGATTAAGAGTCTCTTATGGGGGTAGGGAAGGAAAAAAAGGAAACAAGATGGGATCAGGAGGGAGACAGTCCCTCGCTTTTATAAAGGATCCCAATAAGGGCAATCCAGACAGCTAAAGCATTTTTAGTTTAGATAATTTATTTTCAAATTATATAACACATAATATGAAAAAATTAAACCTTTCTTCATCCTACACCTGCTTTAAAGGATATTAAGAAAACTGAAGAAACTGATGCTAAAGTGGGTGAGGGTGGGATTTTCATCTTCAACAGTTATTACTGATAAAACTTCTTCGCTCAGTTTTAATAGAAGGGGGAGAGTGGGAATTGTATACACATTTGTGATTTAGTAAGGTTCTTAAAAAGGCTAATTACAACGGAAAAAGCAAGTTGGCAAGAAAAAAATTTTCTTGGCATCTGACTCAATCTTGACTGACTGCAAGAAACACCAGTACAATAAATTTATTAGTCTGAACAATGGAAGGGAAAAGAGCTCCAGAAGTTCAGCCCTGCCACGTCTGGGCACCTTTGACACCACGAAAGGTTTTTACTTTGTTTCAAACTGCCAGGAGAGGTGGACTTTCTTTTTTCTAACAGCCTACTTTGAAATCTTCGTGCTTCATTTCTCCCCCAGAAGAACTGTACCTGTCACCTCACTGCGAGGCTAGTTTTCTCTGAGGAAGTAGCTACCCACGGGAGGGCAGAGCTATACACAGACTTCCCAATTCAAGAAGGCTCGCTTCCTCTGCTAACATTCCCATATTAAAAACAATAAAAACATCGACACTGATGGTTAATTTTATGTGTTGACTTGACCGGGCTAAGCCATACCTAGAGAGCCAGCTAGACATGA